TCCATGTTACCCTAGGATGACCCATTCACTGCTTCCCTTCATGATTCCGCTCAAAAAATGGCCTGCATTGCGCAAGACGTCATTCGATGGTTTCCTCAATGTATGCCCAATCTATCTTCAATTTCTCCTACATATTTGTTGAGCAGACAGCTCCTGGTTGGTTTGTTCCCAGACAGAGTTTCTTCATGCTAATTCTTTCTGGCAAACCGAGTAGCCATTTGATCTTCAGTATGCAGCCAGCCAGTGAAGGGGGCAGCTATTGATAAAAGACTTCAGCTGGCTGTTGGAAATCCTTTTTGTGACTCACTTGTAGTGCAAATTTTTGACCCATATAAAAGAACTGACTGAATGACGACTTCCCACTGGTGTTGAAAACATGAACCTTGTTCTTAATGCTGGCTGAGTGAAGCGAAAGATTTCCAAACTGGTTTCAGGATGATGAAGGCGTATCTTGCCTTTCCGATCCCGACTGGCTTTGACATCTGCATCCGTCCCGCCTGTAGTTGAATACATATGCTTTAAATCAGTCATCTTGACAAATATCAAATTGAGTTGAAAACATTTATTTCCCGATACGAATTTAAAACAAGCAATAAAGGTTAATAAAGCAGGATGACTTAATGAATTCATCAAATTTCGGTAGAACTACTCTTCATCTGAATACTCTATATACACGGATACATATATACTTTTGAAATTACATTGGGAGATATAAGACTGATAAATAAACTACATTGAATTAGTCATGCAGAAAGACACGTGCGAATGTTTTACAGGTCATGTTCAGATAGATAAGGGGAGAGAGAGTATGAGAGATCAAAATTAAGATAAATTGCATTACGCTTCAATTACATCACTTAGATAAACAATTAGTCATTAGGGAATATAACGAGAATTATAAACAGAGTAATATCAATAGTAATAGTTATAATAACAAATTTAATAGTGTTGAAGTGAGTTAAGATAGTCTTACTAATAAAGCATAGTTTTAGATGAATCAAGAATAATAATAATAATGGTAATAATAATAACAATAATAGTAAGAAGAAGAGGTAGAATAATAACAAGTAGAGAACAAAACGTATTACCATGGTAGATTCAGAGTGACGACCATCTCCTTTTGTATACAGAGAGCTGGTTTGTAAATTCGAATTGCACAAGCCTCTGCAATTGCAAGCATCTTCTTGTTTCTTTGTTTGCTGACAATGGTGAATGACTTGACCGCGTCGATATCATGTCCGTAATCCACTAGATGTTTTGTTATTGAGGATTTTGGCACTTTGAACTCAGCTGTTTTCAACCATTTTGGCAAATGCTCCATCATGCGAGTAGACAATCGCCTTTCCGTACGACCTATGTATTTGCTGCCACAAACACACTCAAATTGATATATGCAGTTTGAAGTGTCGAGGATTGGCGACTGGTCTTTCCCAGATTGTTGAAGCACTCGCTTGGTGGTGTTAAGGATAACAAGTTTTGCAGCATAATAAGTTCTCTTGATGGCTTTGTCGAGTCTTCGTTTCACTTCTTCCTGTACGTCATCTCCTTTGAATGGCAAATTGATATAGAAAGGTTTCTTTGGAACTGTTTGAATTGTTTTGCAAGGGGTAGTTTCTTTAGAGTATTTATTAATGAACTTCTCAGGATATCCATTCTTACATAAAATATCCTTCAGAGATTTTATTTCATGTTCAATAGTACTGTCAGAACAAATTTTCCGTGCTCTATTGAACAGTGTTCTGACTAAGTTCTTTTTGTACTGGATTGGAACAAAGCTCTTGAAATGCATGTACTGTCCTGTCCATGAAGACTTTCTAAATATAGATCTTTCGATTGTGCCATCATTCATTTTGGCTAGAAGAACGTCTAGAAATTTAATAGTATCGTTTTCCTCGTGTTCTACTGTGAAATTGAGATTTGGATGGCATGAATTGAATTTTATCAACATGTCTTCCGCTTTTGATCTGCTTTCACAGACAATAAAAATGTCATCAACATATCTTAGGTATACATTTGTTTCTTGTATATGTTGCTGCAAAGTACCGGTTTCTAGGCGTGACAAGAATAAGTCTGCGAAAAGTGGTCCCAAAGGGCTTCCCATTGCGACACCATCAACTTGACGGAACAGACGCCCGTTGAATTGGAATTGGACATTTTTAGTACATAAAAGTAGTAATTTCCTCAATTCCGATGTTGGAATGGGTATGTCTTCAGCTTCTTTACATATGAAGTCGATAGTTTCAACGACTGGCACATTTGTGAAAAGGGAGGTAACATCGAAAGAGACCAAATGCTTATCGGATACATTGAAATCTTTAATTTGATTGACAAATTGAAATGAATCAGAGACTATATGTGTTCCGAAACGTTTCAGCAAGGGCTGCAACAGTTCACATAGCCACTGTGCTAATCTGTGGTATGGTGAGTTTATCATAGAGAGTATGGGTCTTAACGGCGCTCCTGGTTTGTGTATTTTTACGCGTCCGTATAGTTTTGGGATTTGTGACCCAATCGGTTTGATATTTCTATATGTGTTTTCGTCAATGTATTTATTTTTGAAGAGTTGTCGTAGATGCTGCACAATTTTCCTTTCGGTTGATAACGTTTGGTCTTTTGCATGGTTATCCAATTTGAATTTAGATTCATCAGAGAGAATTTGATTCATTTTTTCGAGATAATCTATCTTGTTCATTAGCACTACACTTTGTCCTTTATCAGCTTGTAAGATAACAAGATTTTTGTCTTTTCGGAGCTTGTTTAAAGATCTCCAGTCTTACAGTTTGCAGCTAGCTTATTATATCAAATTGAGTGATAAGTTCACAGACGCCAGTCTTTAGGGAGAGTAAAAAGTGACAAAAGCACCAAGAATGCGCGAAAACATGTTTTAGGCAAACATCAGTCAAAATTCAGGGGTATGTAAGGGCATTTACAACCTGGAAAGAATAGCCACCTAGAAGAACTACTCAAAAGATGACCTTCAAACCTGACTTACAGAATTCAGTCTGCAAAAACGCCAAGGAATGAATACATGATATTGTTTAAGCTCTAGTTACCAGTGAGTGTATGCATGACAGACCAAGAAAAGATAAACTGTGCACTCAGATAGGTCAAGGTTAACGTTTTTGATTGCAACAGAGTTTTGATGTGTGTTAGAATCTTTAAGGGGTTCTCACCTCATTAGAAATTTCAAGTACACCTTGCTAATGAGCACCAACAAGGACTAAACTTAATTTCACGGCTTGCAGTCGATTGCTTCCAACTATCTAACATCAAGTGGGTGTATATTTTACACAAAGTTAAATCTTAGCAGTCAACATGAAGAACCCTTTAGATGACCTGATAAGTTTGTTGATATATTCCATTTTCCATAGCTATAGACAGCTCTGTTTATACTAGATATTCCTCTTTTATAATGGTATAAATAAGTTTCCTGATCAAGCGAAAGAAGATAGCCTAATATCTACGGAAAAGTAGAAAACAGGTCAGAATCAAACTGTAAACGAAATGCATGCATACCACTGGCGATTTATAATGTGACTGGTTATTTCAAGGTCGCTTTTGAGAGGTTTCTCATTGGTGGCTGCCATAGTTCAACTATTCCACGAATCAGATAGCTAGATGAGGCGGGTAGATTAAATGTAACTTTAACATTATAAAACACAAAATAATCTAGCAAAGAATATGATTTTCGATAAATTCCTGCGATAAATTTTACTATTGAGAAAGAAAAAGACTCTAGTATTTCATTTTTAGACATCCTTATGACCAGAAAAGAGGATGGCAAAATAAGAAGAAGTGTATATAGAAAACCTACATCAACTGGCTGTCAGTATACTTATTTTCTCAGCTTCGTACCCTTAAAATACAAACGCAATCTGATAAAGTTCTTGGTTCATAGAGCAAGAACAATTTGCTTTGATGAGGAACTTAATAATATTAAACGGTTGCTAAGTGAAAATGGTTATCCTGAAAAAAGTTTATTGATAAGAATATGAATTTGAAACCAAAGCAGCCGAAGTTACCAAAAGTTGGAAAAAAGGCCTTATTCTTACAGATGCAGTTCCTTGGGGACAACATTAGCGAGATATTAACACAGCGCCCTAGAAATGCGGTAAAGCGAAGAGCATTCCCCGCTGCTGCCGCTGCTGAATTACGCTGTGTCTTCAAAACCACTCCTCTTTTGCGTTCGAGAGTAAAAGATAAAGTGCCTAATTCCGCCTCTTCCATGTGTATCTACCAATTTAACTGCTCCTGTGGAGTGAGCCAGTTAGCTGAATAGGACGTAAAATTAGGCGTGTTTCTCGTCGAATTTCCAAACACCACCCAGCAAAGTGGTTAAGTAAAGGATAAACAAAACTTATCCGCAGCGCTATTCTGTCCCATCTTGTGGATACAGAACACAAGATTGATGTTAACGAGATGGCTTTTAGGGTCATTTGCCGCATACCTACGAATCTCAATTTCGCCTTAAGAGTTCGATTACTGAAAATTGCCTAGGCTGGCTGCTGGGATCCATATTAACAAGCTTAATTTGTGCGTTGAAAAGAATTTAGTTCAGACATTATCCTTACCCGCTTGGCCATTTAGGTTTGAATGATCCTGAATTTTTGTGGAATTTTCCTAATTTTAGTTGATATTCTATTTGCTACTATATCCTTATTATTATTATTATTTAAACATCTTTAATGAAATGTGGTAATTCCATTGGTCTTACTTTACAAATCGATATTATTTAAACCAAACACCAATATTGTTAATGACTACTAATCTAGAATATTCTCTGTAATATAAACATATATATATATATATATATATATAATTGTAGAGCCAGAAGAGGGGGAATTTATCGAAAAGGATATTCTTTGCTCGACTATTTTGTGTTTTATAAATGTCTGAATGAATACTTTTGATATTTTGAATTTATTAAAATAGTATTTTGTAACCTTGAATGCTAACTTGAAAGTTAACAAGCTAATTTTATGTATTTATTTTACTTTCAGATGTAATTTTCCCTCTTTTGACATAAAATATATTTTATGGATAAATGAACGTATATACAACTGTCAGCTAGTTAATTAGTAAAGCAAGCGAAGGCGAAATGAGGTAATTCCCTTCCCTCAGAAAATTCTTCTTCTTTCTGTTGTAAATTCTCATACTCAATCTCTAGATTCGTGTATCCCGATCATTTCTACCTCTATTTTTGTTACGATTATTTGTCTATTATACTTCTATTTATTTATATATTTATGTACTTATAAATTCGTACATTTTCGTTTGTTTCTTATTATTCTTGAAGACAAAACTCTCAAGGTCATCTGCATTCCCTTTTGGTTTGATTGTCATCTGAAATACTCTCTATGATTAATTGAGCGGTTGTCATGACATTTTGCTTTATTCTGGCTGTTGCCTTACTTTCAAAAGAAATTCTCTCACACTGGCCATGAAATATGTGACTTTAAATATGATTTCTCCTGAAAAGTTTAACCAATTTTGTAAAATGTTGAACTAAGCGAAAGTTAATCTCTTTTCCGGTGAACTGTATTATAAACAATGGGGTATTTGTTTTTATTTTCTCTTTCTCCATTGAACCTTGAAGATTGTAATGCAAAGTTTTCAAATTTGTACCCATTTGTTTCTTTTAATATGCTAGTCAAATAATATAATCTTGAACATTGAATAGCTATCATATTTACTTTGTTGAGAATAGGATACTTTCTGAAGAAATGTTCAGTCATTTAGAAGTTCATTCACCTTAAGTAACATCAACGAGATAAGTATAGAAAAGTCAATCAAACTGAAGATTGGTTTTGCGGCAGTTTTTTTTGGTATTGTAACAACTGCATGAGATATCAAATCTAGAAATTCTAAGCTTACTAAGCGAACTGTATACAGGGTTCACTGTGAAGCCAGTCATATTCAACAAAACTCGAAGATGAAATCGATCACTTTCGAAGTTTACTGAAAAACGACCTAATGAGAATTTATTATCACTAGTGTCTAACTGGTCGAATGGGATAATTTTCACTACCCAAATGATATACTGTTACACTTTATCCATAGCTGTTGACAAGTGAAAATCACAAGCTTTATTATTCTGACATAACTACTGCATAAAAGCTCATACACTTCAAAATCTGAAGGTTTCTGGTTCTGTCTGAACCAAGTCAGAGGATGGCTATTCTGGGGAATAAATGCACATGCAGAGCAAGTTAGTGAAACCAAGTGAAAGACATTGTATTTGTGGAAAAATTTTGTAAAAAGTGTGGGAATTTGGGTTAAATTGCAGCAAGGCTAGGTTACGGTTAGTCAGGGAAGCGATAAAGTTAAAGTTGAGTAAGGAAACCAAATTTATGTTTTGAATCGATAGGCCGTTTGAAGGTCACTGGTGCGTTTGTCCTCTTGGGTAGCAATTCGTCAACTCTGCCCTTTCTTTCTTAAAGCTTAGTTTTAGTCATAATGCAATCTTCTAGTTATGGTAAAATAGCTGTCTGATAGTTTGCGCCTTGTCTAAACCAAATAAAATATTAAGTCACATCATCCTCGAGAGAATGAAGGATTCACTAGATACAGAACTCCATCGCACCCGAACAAGATGGATTCAGGAAAGGTAAATTTTTTTTATTTTATTTTGATTACAGCTTGATTCCACACTGTATTTTTGGTACAAGTATGGAATCTTCAGCATGGATATTGGTAGCCCAAATTTTGTGGGCTGACCATTGATATCAGGTATGCGTCGGCAGGGGATGGGACCTCGGACCATGTGCATGGTCGGTGAGAGTCCTAAGCACTGTGCCACCAACGGACATCATGTGTTGATCAAATTGAAACTCCACGTATCGTCATCACAGAACAAAGCATAGGATGGCATTCAAATATCTCTCTGCCTCAATTTCATCGACTTTGAAAAGGCCTTCGACAGACAGCATAGGCCGAGAAGTAATTCGGTAACTGAAACTACTTAAACACTATGGCGTGCAGTGCTCAATTCTTATCAGTCTCATCCAACAGCTGGCTGGCTATATGACAATGCCTTTAGAGTGTCAGGTGATCCACAATGGAAGACGCAGCGAAGCGTTCGAAGTGAATACAGCAGCGATACAATCTGGCTACTTACCATCACCGATGATATTCCTAATTGTTGTGGACTGGATTATGAGTTAGACTGTGCGAAGACAAAAGACAGGAGTACGCTGCACGACCAATGAGAAGACTCTAAAAGATTTGGATTTCGCAGATGTGCGTCGGTGGCACAGTGGTTAGGGCTCTCGCTGACCGTGCACATGGTCCGAGGCTCAATTCCCTGCCCACGCACACCTGATATCTATGGTCAGCCTGCAAAATTTGGGCTACCGATATCCATGCTGAAAATACCATACTTGTACCAAAATTGCAGTGTGGAATCCAGCTGTAATCAAAATAAAAAATTAAAATAAATGTATGTTTCATGTCACACAGACTGGAAGACTTACAGACGAAAGCTAACAAACTGGCTGAAGAGGCTGGCAGAGAAGACAGGATGGCAGGTGAACATAGAGAATACAGAGGTGATGAAGATAACCGACCAACCAACTAACAACGACGATTAGCACCAATCACCACCGACGGGAGAGATTTAACAGAGGTTGCCTCCTTCACTCATCTGGGAAGCATCGTTTCAACTAAAGGCGGGATGGATGAAGATATCAAAGCAGGCCAGAATCGGAAAGGCAAGAGATACGCCTTCATGAATCTGAAACCAGTTTAGAAATCTTCTGATTCACTCAGCCAAAATAAAGAGCAAGATTCGGATTTTCAACACTAAAGTGAAGTCAGTCAGTCTGTTCTTCTATACAGGTCGGAAAATTGGACTACACGTGAGTCACGAAAAGGATTTCCAACAGCCAGCTGAAGACTTTTATCAACAGCAGCCCACTTCGCTGGCTGGCTGGCTGGCTGGCCCAATACTGAAGATCAAATGGCCAACGAGAAAGAATTAAACTCAAGGAACTCTGTAGTGGAACAAACCAACCAGGAGCCCCGATTGCTCAACAAATATGTTGGAGTAAAATGAAGATAGGTCAGGCATACATTGAGGAAACCGTCGAATGACATCGCGCACAATACAGGCCATCACTCGAGTGGAATCTGAATGACAAGCCACGAGTGGGTTGTCGGTGTGAGGGATATATGGGAGACATTAAGTGGATAAGAGGAGATGAAAGATTATGGTGAGCTGGTCACCTGAATAGGACGGCAGAAAATGGAACAAAGTGTAGATATGTTGTTGAAGCTCTATGTTCCAAATGGAACAAAAAGGAATAATGATAGTTTCCACCTTTATAAATCATGAGAAAGATAAATGATATTATGGTGTAAATGTGTTCTCTCGACTAAATGACTAAATTGTGGGGCTTTTATTCTCCTTTTAGACAACATATGGATTGAGCGAATCCCGTTTTTTTCCTGATTTCTTTAAGTTAAGAGTCAGACTCTTAAAACGAATTTGCTTCTCAAAGCTTAATGATAATGATAATTTGCTTTATTCCAAAAACAGTACTAATGATACAGCAAGGAATTGTCAGCATTCAGTACAATATTGCATCTAATTTATTCAAAAACGACAACAACAAAAATTAAAAATACACATTACATAATAGTGATAAAACGATTGTTATAACAGCTACATAGCAAATTACTGAATGCAATAAGGAGAAAAATATGCATAAAGTACAAAATTGTAGTAATAATAGTAATACCAACTAAAATAAAATAGCAGAGTAATAATTAAACGATAGAAAGTGTGACACCATAAAATACAGAAAGATGAACAATGAAAGGGTCGATTCACTGTGCTAACTACATAGTAAGTTATAAGTTTCACGTCTAACAGAGTCTTCGTCACATAAAGTACGGGCTAAATAGGGTATTGTAGAATTTCTATACTTAGTGGTACGAGCATATAACTTTTTATATTGACTTCTCGTCCTACCTGATGAGATACAAGGGGACAGGTGTGAATAAAGGGGGTGCAGAGGGTCTGGCAGTATAGCCTTTGCCCATTTCGTACAGGAATTTATATGCCTCTCGACTATAGTATTAGCGAGCTCATGCAGTGGCAGACCACAAGCTCTACTCACAGCATTAAATACTCTTCGTAATATGATATAATCTTTTTTGAGAAGCCCGGGAAAGATTAATGGAGAGCAATAGAGTACAGTAGGTAAAATACAGGATTTTAAAAATTGCGAAACTAAAGGTTGGTTGATACCTGATTGTCTTAACTTTTTAATGTAGAAGGTAAGACGAAACATTTTCTTAGAGATAGATAAGATGTGGGATGACCATGAAAGGTCAGAGGAAGGAACTAATCCAAGGTATTTAATGCTTGACTTGGTTTCGATTTCCGTGACATCTATGCTACAGGCATCATGCGAACTAACTAGTTCATGTAAGTCACGTCGATGCTTGAAAGTAAAGTTAACTGCCTGACATTTGGAAGGATTTAACATAAGACCATTTGACTTGGACCAGTTGTTGATGTCCAACAGAAAGCTATTAAGTTTGAAGCAGTCAGACTCGGAAGTGATAGGCAGTGATGCAGTCAGATCATCTGCATATTTGACAAAGTTAGTTTAGTTTGAATGAGGCAGGTCGTGTAGGAAGAAAGAAAAAAGAAAAGAAGAGAGGATGGCATCTTGAGGAACACCGGTTTTTGTGAGCGAGGTAGAAGAAGATTTGCCATTATATACAGCATACTGCATTCTATCAGAAAAATAGGCGTGCAACCAACTCTTAGCCCAGGATCCTGTTTGTGTCAACGGAAGCTTATTTAATAAAAGGCCCCTAGGTACAGAGTCAAAAGCAGATGTGTACATATTTGCACCTTTTTCTAAACAAGAAACAACATTGTAATGTAAAACAACCGCAGCATCCAAGATACTTCTACCATGTTTATATGCAAATTGTTTACAAGCATCCGGTAGCATATAGTCTTTATCAAGTTTATTGATGACGTAGCACCACACCTACCATGACATCTATATAAACCTAAGGCTAAGAGAAATAAATCAAACTGAAGTGAGTTCATATTAACGACATAAATGTCTAACGTGACTGCGGATTCTTTAATTGTTTTAAATATCGTTTTAACGTATATATATAACTAAGCTGGAATCCCATCCTGCTTTGTAGTGCTACCGCACACATCCTAAAAATCTGTAGTCTAGTCATACTAGCCAGATAAGACATAAAATCTTTTCATTAAATGATTTCGACAGTCTATTTTATTGAAATATTTTGCTCACAAGGATGTAGGTTTAAGTAACTGAGATTTTAATTGATGTTTCATTACCAGTGCTTGCTGTTAAAGTAATATACCGGTCAAATGACTATAGTGTAGCATGTCAACAGCAAAACCAGTTCTTCACATCTGATGAGCCGAAGTGTCAACTTTTCGCCACATTTCAAGCCCAATTTATCCACATTCCCACTTGTTTGTAGCAGGCTTGATCACGAGCTGATATCACTTAGTCAGCGACTGGAAAACCAGGAATGACTATTCAGCT